TGTTGTCTGGGGTTGGGGAGCTGCACGCTGTCGCTGAGGACGACCCGGTGAGTGGCGGGGATGGCCCGGCTCGGGGTCTGGCTGCAGCTGCTGCCCCCGGACATGGTCTTCCGCGCGTAGTGCCAGCAGCCAGAACGTGGCCCTCCTCACATCCACCGCTTCTTATCCAAACTCCAAGACTGGTCTGTTCTGTTAGATCCCTGGTCAGACAACAATCACACAGAGGGTCAAACGCGTCCTTCCAGGAGAAGGTGCGGCCCTTGAAGCTTATTCATGGAAGTCTGTGCAGTCCCAGAATTTCAGTTAAACAAGTGGACTAGGTCAGTGGTCGGAAAACTCATTAGTCAACAGAGCCAAATATCAACAGTACTTCTTCAAAAATAGACTCACCCAGGCCAAAAACCCACTTCTGCGCATGGGCCACGAAGTTTCAATTGCAGTGTACATGCGCCCCCACGTGGTATTTTGTGGAAGAGCCACACTCAAGGGGCCAAAGAACCGCACGTGGCTCTCGAGCCGCAGTTTGCCGACCACGGGACTAGGTTGTCTGGCTGCAGAATCGCATCTCTGTCAGAGGTCCTAAAAGTCCACTATCCTATCACTTTGCCCCTGTTGTGTCTTTTTAATATATAATACAAATTATAGCAGGAAGTAAAGATCCTAGGAAAATAACCATGGATGACCTATCCTTCCCTTATAACTCAAAAACTATGGGCATCCTGGTACTGGAATCCAGACCATCTTGGCATTACAATCCAAAACTGCCCTCTACACCTTTGCAGGAAAGAGACTAGGTTCTCCCATCCCAGCCCTGAATGCTGTTGCTTATACACTAAGAGAGAGGCTGGACTAGCAAGGGTTTCTCTCTAAAACCTAGTCAGTGTTCTGGAAACAATCTCTATTTTCATCAAACCTTAGTTGGACCTGCATAGGAAGGTGTCCCTCTTGGGTTTCTGCCATACCTCTACCCTGCCCAGCACCAAAGCTGCCTCCTCTGAAGCCACAATCCACAATGCACCATCTCCTTTCCCATCTGCCCCAGCCAGAAAGGAAAACTTGCTCTGGGCTCTTAGATAGGCTGCCTCTTTCAAAGCTCAGGAGCAGAGAAGCAAAAAAAAAGTCTGGATGATCATCTTCTCCATAACCTGCTGCAGGGAGATAAGAGGGAGAATACCACCTTCTCAAATGTGCAGGAGTTGATGCCACAAAGGGCTACAGACCACAGACAGGCTCATCCCTCACTTCCAAGATTGCAGCCTTTTGGCCCCAAGGACTGATGTCAATGCTTAGAAGACAGAGATGCAACTCTGCAACCATCTTTCCAATTTCAGAGGTGCACCACTTTCTCCTTCACCAAACCTTCAGATGGGAGAGAACCTCCCACACTCCTCTAGTTGCAAGATGATTCTCCACGGATCGCTCACTTTTCTGCATGTCTTGTAAGTAAGGCAGTGGCTTTAGTGTGTCCTGGATTATCTTTTCAAGAATATTTGTATAGTGAACAACCTTAGAAGACGGATTAAGTGTTTTTCTCCAGACCAAAGGACAGTTTGTTTACACCCTTGGAAGATAGAATGTCCCCTACCAGAACAAAGGAACAGGAAGGTTTACTGCCGATTATCAAATGTTCAGGGTCTCTATGCTCAGGCATCCTTCTGAAGTACAGTCCCCTGCGTGCTATGTTACTTGGCCTGGTTATACTGGGGGTGGGGTGTCAAGGTCAAGGAAATGGCTCAAGAAAATGTGGGTGTTCTTGCTACTGCTATGGTTGTAAGTAATAACCATGTGTCCATGATAGACTGTGTCATCCTAACTTGTTGGCTTGCAAGTAGGATGAATTCTCTGTCACGGACACTCTCTAGTGCTGCACTCAGAGAAAACCACTCCACAGTCTACTCTCTCAAGGCCTCTGAGTGCTGAGCACTTCAAGTTTATTGAACCAATTAGCACCGAATTGGGAAGCATAAAGATTTCATTTCCTGCCCTGACTGGTTTGGCTCAGTGGATAGAGCGTTGGCCTGTGGACTAAAAGGTCCCAGGTTCGATTCCGGTCAAGGGCATGTACCTTGGTTGCGGGCACATCCCCAGTAGGGGGTGTGCAAGAGGCAGCTGATCGATGTTTCTCTCTCATTGATGCTTCTCTCTATCCCTCTCCCCTCCTCTCTGTAAAAAATCAATAAAATATATATATTAAAAAAAAAGATTTCATTTCCTTGCCCTAGCCGGTTTGGCTCAGTGGATAGAGCATTGGACTGCGGACTGGAGGGTCCCAGGTTTGATTCCAGTCAAAGGCACATGCTTGGGCTGTAGGCTCGATCCCCAGCAGGGGGTGTGCAGGAGGCAGCTGATCAATGCGTATCTCTCATTATTGATGCTTCTATTTCTATCTCCCTCTCCGTTCCTCTCTGAAAGCAATAAAAAAATATTAAAAAAGATTTCGTTTCCAATTTGATGATATGCTTTCTGCTCTATTATAGACCATGGAAAATTTCAGATGTTGACACTTGGAATCTGCAGTTACAGGACATTTCCAAGTTCCATATGAGATGTTTTAGTGCCACCTACAGGCTACTGTCTAAGGGGGAGCTCTAGACAGCGCAGCCAGTCTGCTCAGGCAGTTAGTTCATCCACAGTATGTGGGAGTGATCCATGCAAAGCAGGGGTGAATCTCACAAATGTAATGAGGAACAAAAGAAGCTAGATGGAGAAAGTACATATTGTATCATTTACAGAAAGTACAAAACCAGGTAAAATGAATTGTGTCAGACTTTTCCAGAGAAACAGAGCCAATAGAACATGTATTTAAATTCCTTAAAATAAATTTCTATATATATATTTAAATATCTTTATATACAGATAATTTTGTAAATATGTGTTAATACATATAAATACAGATTTTCTATTCTCCCTTTGGAAAACTTTAGCCTTTGCTCTTAAGGCTTTCAAATGAATAGATGAGGTCTATCCACTCTACTGAAGGTAATCTCCTTTACTTAAAGTCAACTGATTATTGATGTTAATCAAATCTAAAGCCCGGCTAGTGTGGCTCTGGTTGAGTATCAACCTATGAACCAGGAGGTCACAGTTTGATTCCAGGTCAGGCCACATGCCTGGGTTGCAGGCTTGGTCCCTGACAAGGAGGCAGCTGATCAATGATTCTCTCATCATTGGTATTTCTATCTCACCTTCTCCCTTTCTCTCTCTGAAGTCAATAAAAATATTTTTTTAAATGTTCTGAATCTTTTTTAATATATATTTTATTGATTTTTTACAGAGAGGAAGAGAGAGAGATAGAGAGTCAGAAACATCGATGAGAGAGAAACATCGATCAGCCGCCTCCTGCACATCCCCCACTGGGGATATGCCCGCAACCCAGGTACATGCCCTTGACCGGAATCGAACCCGGGACCTTTCAGTCCGCAGGCCGACGCTCAATCTACTGAGCCAAACCGGTTTCGGCTGAAGTCAATAAAAATATTTTTAAGAATCACATCTACAAAATACTTTCACAGCAACACCTAGACTGGGCACTATAACCTAGCCAAGTTGCCACAAAACTTGGCACTTTTATATACCTCCTTAACCCTTTCCCCAGGAGAGATGCAAAGCCCTTGAGTGATGTTTACTTTTCGCCTTGATGTTCCATGACTTAAGTATTACAATGCAAAATTAACAATACTTAAATACCAGCATGTAAAGTGAACATATCTTATGTCACATAATAAGGGAATGAGGGGAAGACAAAGATATTTGCTATACATATATATGTATACACATTTAAACATATTTATAATCAAATAAGGAAGAACTACTCAACAATTACTGTCCTAATTCTAGAATTGGTCATGAGGTTGTAGCTGGTATTTATTGCTACCTTCTTCTACTACCCATTCTACATTCCCTTTGCATTAGCAAGCATCTCGGCTGGAAAGTAGTTCTTTGCCTGATGGGTGACCCAAACCTTCATTTCTAGCATTAGTAGACCTGACTGGATTGTTGACGTTTTCCACTGATCTTAATGCCAGGGCATGTTAACACAAACAGGCACCCTAGGATCACCTATGTTCCAAACATACTCTTTCTTACCTCCATTGTGGAGTAGCAGCTCAATTTTTCCTTAGTAGTGAGGAGCAATTACCCCAGACAGTATAGTAACTACCTTCTTTTCCTGCTAATTCAGAGATGTGAGGAGCCCAAAGAGGTTGGACAGCAAGCAGTCTTAACTTCCAGTTCAATGGGATTGTTGTGTCTCTGGGTGAGGACATACCTTCCTTTGAAACAAAGACTTCCTTTGAAACCAGCAGCACATAAGGTGATGGGACAGGAAGCAAAAATTTTACTAGTGGGTTAATACTGAGTAATGCTCCTTTGGTTTCCCTCTGTACCCCCCTGCACATGCCCCCGCCACCCCCTTTGATTCTTGCTATGGGAAAAACAGCACCATATATTGGACACTGATTTACAGCTTATACAGCCTCCTGGAGAACAGTGTATTGTCCCCTAGCTGGCACTGTAGCTGAGTCTTTCAGAAAGCCATTCCACCATTCAATCAAGACTGCTGCTTCAGCCCTAACCGGTTTGGCTCAGTGGATAGAGCATGAGCCTGCGGACTGAAGGGTCCCAGGTTCGATTCCAGTCAAGGGCATGTACCTTGGTTGCAGGCACATCCCCACTAGGGAGTGTGCAGGAGGCAGCTGATCGATGTTTCCCTCTCATCGATGTTTCTAATTCTCTATCCCTCTCCCTTCCTCTCTGTAAATAATCAATAAAATATATTTTTAAAAAAAGACGGCTGCTCCAGAATGGTGGGGGACATAGTAAGACAGGCAGGATAGTAAGAAGCTAGGAAAAATTCCTTGGCAAGTAGAATGGGGAAACTGAGACAGATCGTTGAACCAATTGTCTGAGCAGTTTACAGCCAGATACAGAAGGTCACCTCCCTAAAGATAATCTAGGCCTCAGTTGTATTTCAGCTCCAAGCCAAGAAAAGCAGCATAATCAGGACTACGTGCAATGCCTAATGACCCGCAGCTCTGGTGCTCACCATTCAGGAGAAACTGGGACCCTGGAGGGGCACACACGGAAAACTGATGGGTATTCCGGGGAAACCCTCCGGCAGGATTCCCACCTGCAAGAGAGAGAGATAAAGGCCTTGGCAGAGTAGCTCAGTTGGTTAGAATGTCGTCCCCTACACCAAGGTTTCGGCTTCCTGGCTGTTGTACCTCCAAGGCTGTTTGTTCTACCTGTGGAATGTTTAAACATTTTGACGACTTCTGATCGTCTCCACCTCCTCTCTCCCTGGCACACCTGCTCTCAGACCTCCATAACCACTCACTGTCTCCTTCTCGACTCCATCCCTCCTGTCTGCATTTACCCGCTGCTGCGCCTGGCCTCCACAGTCCTATCTTCAGGCGTCTCTACATTCTTTCTGGCTCTTGAGTTGTCGCAGCCAAGCTCCATTCCCAGCCAAATCCAAGTCCGTCTTCTCCACTCGCTCGCAACACTCAGCCCCCCCGTTTCGGTGGAAACAAACTGGAACATTAACCGAAACTGACTCCACGTCCAGGGCTGAGGATGGTATTTTTAACTTTTTCATTATTCTTAATTCCCATACGTCAACAATGTAAACTTTTCACTTTCATTGAAGCACCGCAAAGCCCACCCCCTGCGTCCCGCGGCTGTTCACCATTGGTCGCCTTTAGGAGACGCAGGCGCACTCGCCGCCGCCGCCCGGGGCATGACGGGACGT